CAACTTCATGTTTCTAGTTGACATTAAATCTCCCACTTTTTTCCTCTTCATCAGAAGCTCATCGCCATAAGTGCTCTTTAGATAAGAAGCCGAACGATTTACACTTTCAACTGCCGTTTTCAAATCATCAGAAAGTTGAGCAAACAGCATGTCTCTCTTCTTTGGAGGTACAACAAGAGCCTCATTTGTCAAAAATAGTTGCAAATTTTTATATGTCAACTGGTAGTTCTTTATATTAGCAAATGCGTTCTCCCAAGCATCGAGTGCTTCGCTTAATTTTGAAGATTCTTCAACTGTCTTTGAATATTTCAACACCATCTCTAATTTTTGATTAATTGTGAATCCAAGTTCTTCCCAAATTTTGTCAAGTCGTTGATAAATTGGACTCTGATTAATATCGCCGTCAAAATCACCTTCATGCTCTTGCAAATAGGTGACAATTCTTGTCTTGGACTTAGAGATATCATAATTACCAACAAGTGGCTCGTTTAAGCCGACATTTCGATTTAAACTATAAAGATGAGGAAATGTAAAAATGTCATAATTTTCTGGTTCATTTTGTTTTGATTCTGAAGTACCATTTGAGTTTGCTTTAGAGTTATCGTTGTTAGTAGATGTTGAATTATCATCATTATTATTTGGTTTTGATGGACTGTTTTGCTGGCTATTGTCACCATCGATACTGCTATTATTATCTTTATTCCATTTGCTATTTTGGCCGTCGGTGCCGTTGATTAAATCAGATTCAAAATCAAATGGATGATAATCATCAATATTCGGCGTCGAGATCATTTCTGTTATTCCTATTTCTGTTGATAATTTACTGATTGTATCGAGCTGGTCAATAAATTGACCTTCACGTGATTTACCAAGAGGATCTGCAACTTCCCAGAAAAGCTTGTTGGCCATTTCTTTTTGCTGTATTTCAGCATATGATGTTGGCTTCCGTGAATGAATGTCTGAATTCTCCCTTCCAGTTTTAAGTGATTCAATTGCAGAACATAATACACTTCTTGAGCTCAGTTTGCTGTTTTCTCTGAGAGTTGGTAATGCAGAAGGTTCGTTAATTTGGAAATGCGCTCTTTTACGTGAAGCACGCGAAGAAGCATTTGATCTTGAACTCGATTTTTTTGATTCACTCTTTGGAGTCCTTTTGAAATCGTTCGTAATCACTTCTGGCATTTTCCTTTGTGAATTTACGCTTCCATTTCCTGTTCTATTCTCGCTAAAATCGTCATCCAAATTTATATTAATTGTCAAATTTAAATTTGAGAGGTTCGAACCAGACTCATTTATCATTTGTAAATCACTTTCTGATTGGCCTGAATTATTTAATTGTGGGAAATGGACACTTGGAGCGGTTGCTGGCCTCGAAAGAACTTGCTCATATGCATTAACCATTTTTTTCAACTTTTTCTTCATTTGCAAACATGAGCTTTGACGTGTTCCATTAACAATACCAAATTCTGGCTTCTTCAGTTCGTTTATGTCTGGTCTGTAATAATCAGGAAGAGCGTTTGTCTTCTTTGAAGGATCAAAGAGTCTAAGCAAAACTTCATCTTGGGCAAAATTAAATGTATTATTATAATCATCATTGATATTGTTAGTTGAGCTGATATTGCTATTTATTGTACTTGAAAATGATTGTTTTCCGTCGTAAATTGGCAGTTGCGATGATTGACTTTGAATTAATCGACTTGAATTAATTGATACGGTTGGAATTGATTTTGAGGGTGAAAAATTACTATTGTTATTACTAACAACATTATCACTATCTTGATTGTTAATAATAATATCATTATTATTATTAATACTTTTATCACTAATATTATTTTTATCACTATTATCATTTTTGTTATTATTGTTATTATTAGTTTTGTTGGCAGTTGCTTCATCTTGCTGATTTGCAAAAAGTTCTGGGAATTCTTTAACTAGTTCTTTATTTTGAGATGCTTGTTCAACATTAATTAAATTTGCTTTGAAAGCAGATCTTATTACATCTTTTGCAGCTTTTTCAGCTTCAACTACAAATTCTGTTGTATTTTGTTGAAGTTGAAAACGAGATAATTTCCTAGAGTCAAGCATTCGCATATGTATCATCCTATGTCCTATTTCAACAATTTTTTCTTCAAGCTTATTAACATAAACATAAACATCTTCTGGAATAATAAAAGGTAAAGATGATATTTTTTTCTTATTTTTTTTCAAAACATTTGATGTCAAGAAAAAATGCAGTTCGGGATCTTTATAACGAGAATTTTCACTTAAGTTGGCATTTGAATTTGCTTTTTTAGTTTTCGTTTTTGGTGGCGGGGAATCGGCTATCGATGAAACAGAAACCATCGATGGACTTGCAGGCAATTTTATGGCTGCTGCTGTTGTTGCAGTGTTTGCCGCTTTTTTTTTTAATTGGGCTAATTTTATTGGTGTTTCGCCTTTGACCGGCGAACTGCATGTTGATTTTGCTGATAATCTTGATACAGGGACTGACTTTGGTATAGGATGCTTATTTGGAATAATGGATGGTTTGAGAGATCTATTAAAAGTTCGTCTTATTTGTTCTGGAGGAACTCCTTGCATTACCATATAGCCTTTTTTATTCATTTTTACAAGATATTCAGATGCTTTTGAAAGCGATGTTGAAGGAGAATCGGGAGGTTGTGCTGCGGTTTCGATATTGGGACAAGTCGAAGCTTTGAAATTCATTTCAATTGAATGCCGTGTATCTTCCTCAAGAGGAAAACAGAAACTTGGGACATCGGGAGCAGGCCGGAGAGATTCTGCGATGTCCATTTAATTGAGAAGATTTTTTTTTTTTTCATAAAAACACGTTAAAATATCCTTTTCAATTATTGAATCATTTATCAATATTACTATTGAAAATAGAATCTTATATTAATATATCTTTATTGAAACACCTTATATCATATATGAAATTTTTTTGTTATAAAATCATTAAAATACATTAATATTGCTCAAATCAATGATAAGCATATAAATTTATTTGAATTAATCAATAAAATTTTTACATTGAAAAATTGATTAGTAAAAACTTTTCAGTGACCAGATTTAATTTTAATTATATATCTATATGGATATTCATGACATTCTTAGTACTGATGTAATCAATGAAGCAAATATTGTCATTGAACTACAATATTTACTTTGCAAACTTTCTGAAAGTAATATTGAAGAAACTTTTACATATCTTAATTCGACAATTTTTGTAAAGACAAAAGAAAAAATAAATCAATTAGCACACAATATATTAACAATATTAGATAACACAATTGGTAAAATTGATATTCTTTTTCAATTGGTACGACATTTATTTCAAGTTCTACCTAACAATTTAGCCGATGATTTTAAGTTTTATTTTATTCATAATTTTATAAATCATTTTGCATCTATCAAAGCTAAAAAACATTATGTTTCAAGCTTTGCCCGATACACGTTCATCAGGTTGTGTTGTGAAAATAAAATCATTGAAATAGCAGATATAATTAAAGAAATCAAATACTGGGTTGATTACTTGCCACAACAAGAAACCACTCATTTTGCTCTATTAATGTATTTTGCTGATTATATAAATCAAGACGCTGATTTATACGAAAAAATGTCAAAAGCAATCTTAAATTCTACAAGAACAAGTTTTACAAATGACGCACTCTCTGCATATTCAAACTTTAAAGAAATGGAGAAACAAAATAAAAATTTTGATAATCTAATTTTCTTGACCAAAAATTATTATCCATCAGACTCAATTTTATATTATATTAAAAATGATTTGCTAGATGAATTTTGCACCTGTATTGCTCAAAAATCCAATTTTAATATTCTTGAATATTCTCCAATAACATTTTATGAACCTCATCATATTCTTCATAATAAAATATCATTAATAGGTTTTGCAGCATTTTATGGTTCGATAAAGATATTTAAGCATTTATTAGTTGAGTTCAATACAAATCGATATACAATTTTTCAAAATGAAGGAAGGGAAAATAAATTGACCTATTTGGCCATTTGTGGGGGTAATTTTGAAATAATAAAATTAATTTTACATGAAAGGGAAAAAGCAGGGAAATCGCCTAAATATGCAACTTTATATTATCAAAATAATATCTATGACTGGCTTCAAGACAATCCGACCTCAGAATTCTCAAATATTTTACATGCAAGCTGCCGAGTAAATAATATCAAAATTTTTTTAGATGTTCTAAAGCAAGGCTGTGATGTAACTCAACTTCATAAAGGACTTGCCCCGATTCATTATGCTGCTTTAAACGGTCATTGCGATATTTTAAGAATTTTATTAACATTACCATATATCGATATAAATTGTTTGACAACAGATAATGTTTTATATAATAAACTTTTTTTTTACTCATCTAACTCCACTACATTTAGCTGTTTTAAGTAGAAATTCCGAAGCTGTCCGTCTCCTTCTATCCCAGCCAAATATAAATATTAATTGCCAATCTCCGCCTTCCTATCACACGCCTCTACATTTAGCTGCACGTGAATCTGAAGAAGACATAATGAAAATTCTTCTTGCTGATAAAAGAATTAGAATAACTGTTGGCAATCTCGTTTTTTATATATATTTTTCTTATAATTTAAGTTTTAAATTTTCGTTTTTAATAAACTCCTTTGCATTTTGCCGCAGAAAGAGGCAACATAAAGATTGTTCAGATGCTGCTTGACATGCCAAACGTTTATGTAAATGCACCTGATAAACAAGGAAAAACACCATTCGATTTGGCTATTGCTAATAATCATAAAGATGTTGCCGATCTGCTCCAATCTCGTGTTGGCTCAAAAGATACTCTGAAAAAGAATAAAGAATCATGGAATCAGCTTTTCTACTAATACTATATATGAATAATTGTAAAATGTATTAAAATAAATAGATTTTTTTTTTCAATCAAAATTTTTTCTTATTGTTTTTTAATTTTTTATTTTTGCCAAAAAAATGACATCAAAAAAAAGTCAAAAAAGAGCGATGAGCAGATTCGAACTGCTGACCTTAAGGTTATGAGCCTCACGAACTAAACCCGCTGTTCCACACCGCATCTGATATTTTATTTTAAATCTATCAATTGTCAATATTATATATAGTTTATTGATTAAAACTTAGAAGTTGAAATTTTAAGATTATTAATTTGACCAATAAAAAAAAATATTAAGTATCTTTGAATAATAAAATATAAAAATAAATAAATAATATTTTACAACAAACAAACAAAAATACAAACAAATAAAGTTATAGAAAATATGATGATTGATTTGGATCATCAGGAATTTTCCTTTCACTTTCAGGACATGGATCAAACATAACGAGACTATATGGTTCAGCATCATTTGGATGATACTTCATTACACAAGCTTTATTACCTGACCTGTACATATAATTTGGGGCAGACCAAACAGTAATAAGTTTTTCATCAAAGTACCATTTATAACCATCCATCACAAGCTGATGCGATCTTGTAATAAAATCAAGTCCATTATTGTAACAAAATTCTTTGGTTTGAGAAGCTCCAAATAACCACCCAGCTCCTCTTGGATTTTCTCTCCAAGAATCGATATCATCAGGGTCACTCCAGCATAGATCACATAAAGGCCCAATGCTTGGGAGTTCTTCTTGTCTTGTCATTAAAGAAATGCTTTCGATTAAATTAATGCGAGGAGATAAACCACCATGAACAGAAAAAACCCTTCCATCAATAAGTGCAGCCATAGGAAGAAGATCAAAAACTTCATTGCAGAGAGCCCATACACCTGGATGACAATATGTAGATAAAGATTCATGATAAAAACCATACATTTGATTGACTTGGCGGCATTCATGGTTCCCACGTAGCATATAATATTTTGTTGGATATTTTAATTTAAGCGAAGCCAAATATGCAAATGTTTCTATTGAAAAACCACCACGATCAACATAATCTCCCATAAATAAAAACTGCTCAGTTCCAGGCTCTGCGGTATTAGTATCCTTTTTGAACAATTCGAAAAGATCGTAGAGTTGACCGTGAATATCTCCACAAATTGTAATCGGTGAAGATAATTCTAAAACATTATCTTCTGTATAAAGAACTTCCATAAGTTTCGTTAAGAGTGAAGCAAGTTGCTGTTCAGGAATTGCTTCACCCTTAAGACATGTTTCAAATACTAAATCAACATCAAATTGGCTCATATATTTGATAGAAATATGATATAAAAATATACGTTTATTAAAAAAATATTAAAACATCAAATCTTTGAACTACAAAACTAAATTAATAAAGTATTATTAAAATATTATTAAAATATTTAAATGTTGACATTCAACCTGAAAGCAGACTTTACTTATTTATAAATAGATTAAATTATTCTTTTTATCTTTTATATCTTAAAAAAAATTATTACTATTAAGGCTTATTTTACAACCCATCTTGTTCTCAAAACTCCGTTATCATACGTGGTTGTTGTAATTCTAAAAAGACCTTTGATTTGAGATGTATTTGATACGTGCTCACCAATACAAGCTGAATAATCGAAGTCTCCAATTTGAACAATTCGTAATTCTTCTGCATTTTTGGATTCGTCGGGAAGCTTTGAAACATCAACAAGTTTTTCAGCTTCTGCTCGAGGCAATGTATAAATTTTGACATCTAGATGCTGGCGTATAACATCATTAACATTTTTTTCAATCTCGGTTTTTTCTTCAGGGGTTATATCTCTATCAAATTTAAAATCACATTTCGATTTCTTTTTTTCGAGATGCATAGTAATATTTTTTCCACAATGAAACATATTGTCCATCACCCTTCCGAATATATGTTCTGTAGTGTGCATAGCTGGGTCATAATTCTTGTGCTCGCTCATTAAGACAGTTTAACTAAGTGATGGTTTCAAAACTATTGAATTTTTAAAAACTTTTTGAATAATAATCCTTATTCATTAATTTTGATCAAATAAATGACTGAACAACCCCCACTTCCAAAATACTGGGAAATAAGAGAATGTAAAGATTATCCAGGCAGATGCTACTTTTATAATTCACTTAGTGGCGATAGTACTTGGGTAAGACCAGTTTATCCAACACCCAAAAATACAATGATTTATGTATCGCAAATATTAATAAAGACAGAAAAAAGCAGAAAACCAGAAACAAAAAATGGCCCTGTTACAAGAACTGTTGAAGAAGGAATAAATCAACTTAAAGAAATTCGAGAAAAAATAGCGATCGATAAGTCTAAATTCCCAGAAATTGCTAATGAAGTATCAGATGTCGATGAAAAAAATGGTGGCGATTTAGGTTGGATAGAGTATGACGATGTCCCACCACAATTTGCGGAAGCTGCATGGAATCTCCAGTTAAATGAACTTTCTGATATTGTCCAGACAGAACTTGGCCTCCATTTGATCATTCGACGCCAGTAAATTTTGAAATGCTCGCCAAACTCGTTCCAAAATTCATTTTTTTTGAATCCTTATGTTGTTTTTATAAAAATAGAATATTACAATATATCTATTTCAGTTCGAATTAAAGCAATAATTTTATTTATCCAGATTAACATTTTCTATATTTTTAAATAATAGGCATTACATGAAATATTTAAATGCATTATATAATATTATTTGAGAAATATCTCCAATTTTAATGGAGAAGTAGATTGTAATCAAATTGAATTGATTCAAAATATTTATTTTGATTAACAAAAAAAATCAACAATTCACTCAAATATTATTGAATTATCATCATTATAATTTTGGATTTTTTTTAATCGAATTTATGTTTTGGTAAAGATACGGCACCATACTTTTTTAATAAAAAATACGTTATTTAAGAAAATTTGAATATGCTTTATAAACATTTCCAACTTTTTAATATTAAAATTTGACCGTATAAAAAACTTAGTCAAAGTAATTAATCTTTGTTAGAGTTGAAAGAAATAAAAATTAGAATTTAAACTTTTTAATATGATATTTGGCTTTTTAAAAAGGAACGTTTTTTTATATCATGAATAGATATGAAATTATTCGCGAGCTCGGAAAAGGTTCGTACGGTAGCGTCAAGCTGGCTCGCGATAAGGAATCAAAAGAACTATATGCTGTCAAGAAAGTTAAACTCAGCTGTTTATCAAAAAGCGAACGTGAAAAAGCGTTAGGAGAAGTTAAAGTTCTTTCATCGATTTCACATCCGAATGTTGTTGCATACAAAGAATCCTTTCAAGAAAAATCATCTCTTTTCATTGTCATGGAATATATTGATGGCGGCGATTTAGACAAAGTTATACAAAATCAACGAAACAAGTTAATGGAAGAAAGTGACATCCTTCGATATTTTGTTCAAATTGTTCATGTTGTCAATTATCTTCATACAAACCATATTCTACATCGAGATCTAAAACCTCAAAACGTTTTTTTAACAAAACATGGAATAGTAAAACTTGGAGATTTCGGAGTTGCGAAGTCGCTCGACGCTACTTGTGATCTTGCAAAAACAATTATTGGAACACCATATTATTTATCACCAGAAATTTGGGAAGGATCACCATATGACTCAAAAAGTGATATATGGAGCCTTGGATGCATTTTATTTGAAATGTGCTCTTTACACAAACCTTTTGAAGCTCAGAACGCAACTGCATTATTAGCAATGGTAATACAAGGAAAGCATGGAGCTATTCCATCCCGCTATTCTCAGAATGTACGCGATTTAATTGATGGAATGCTTAATACTGCACCTCAACTTAGACCTACAGCAAAAGATATATCAGCTCTTCCTTTTATTCAAAAAGCAATGACTGATTTATATGTTAAAAACAAACAAATATTAGATGAACAACGACAAAAACGAAACAAAGCAAATCAGAAAAGCGAAAAAAAATTAGAAGTACCAAATCGTCATTTGATTGCCAAATCAAAATCGAAATTAAATCAACATCCAACAGCTCAATCAGCTAGAAAAGATAAACGCCAGCCCAATTCATTAATATCCATAGATTCATCTGACGAATCATCTTCTCCTAATCGACCAAAACCATCAAGTAGATCCACCGATTCAAACTCAACAAAAATAACTGTTTCAAAACCACCTCGTTCATCACGTGGAAAAATCCCAATCAAAACTAATTCAAACTTAAGAACTAGCGAAATCGCCCCTTTAACCGCCAGTCCACAATCAAAAAAGACTAGACCACGCATTTTATTCGCTCAAAACGAATCAAACAAAAATGAACCCAATTTTATTTTCATGGATAACAGTAACAAATCAAAATCAACTCCAAATATTGATCAATTTACAATAGACGATTCAAGTGAAGAAAAAAATGGCCAACATAAGCAGCAATCACACATTCCTCGGTCATCAAGAAGTTCCAAGTCTGCAGGAAGAAGTAAATGCAGAACGAGGCCAGACAATTTTATAATATTCATGAATAGTGACGATAACGATAAAGAAGATAACAACTTCGAAATAAATAGCGAAAATAAAAGAATTTCAAAAAGTTCTCGAAGTATCAAAAGTGCTGACGACAGCAATAAAGCTATGTCTACTGTTCCTCGCTGGGCAGCTTCAAAACCAACTTCTAAGCGTCTTCAACCAACATTTGGCGAACAAGGGCTGCCAATTTCACCAGCATCATTCAATGATGACTTTATTTCTGATGATGAAGATTCAGACAAGGATGAAAAAGAAAATCAAAAAATTGATAAATATGATAATGACGAAAAAGCAAGTGATAACGAAGGAAATAATAATGGAGACGATGATTTGTTTGACGACGATTTTATTGATGATAATGATATCGAAGATCGAAACGAAAATAAAAACAAAGACGATTTCAACTTTGAGAAGATGAGCATCAACTCAAATAATATCGATGATCTTGATTTCATTAATTTCAGCAGTAGCGATGACCTTCATGAACTTGAAAAAGCAAATTCAGCTCTTCGAGACTCTCTTCAAACTTCTCCAAGCGGAAATATTCAGAAATATACTAATGGCGGGAACATTAATTCATCACGAGCAAAATCAGCAAAATTACAGATAGATGAAAAAGAAAATCGATCTAAAACAATG